TGTTTGTTAGTCAAATGCTCAACCACTGCACCACCAAGGCTCAAGTCTGTCTCTTATAACCCCAGAATTTCCTCTTATTCTGATTAGATACTATCAAGCTTCTCCTCCCAACTTCCCATTTCTCCTTTGCCCTGCAAGACAAGGATGAAAGGGAAAAAGAGCAGTACTTCCTGATTCAAAGTCATATACATCTCCTTGGTCCAACAGTCCACACCTCTCAGAACATTTTGTCTGCTCTCATGCTGAGTGAGGAATTTCTGAGGATTTTAGACTTGATTTTTCTTATTTTATTCTAGGAGAATCTATGCCCTTTTTTTTAATTTTTTATTTTTAATCTGTAGACTACAAGCTGAGGAATGTGTACCAATTACCTTGGCAAGACAGAGAGGAGCCTGGTAATTTTCTTTTTTCTTTTGTTCAAATAACCTTCCCCCCCCCCACTACCTGATTATATGTAATATATTTCTATTTAGAAAATTTGGAAACTACAGAAAAGTTCAAAGAATATTATTACCACTCAGAAATACAGAACATTGATATTTTGGCATATTTCCTTTGCTATAAAAATTTTTAATGGTACTAAGGGGCTAATAAGTCCCTGGGCACAAGTGGTTTGAGCTTGACTACTAACCTAAATTGGCAGTTTGAACTCATCCAGTGGCACCATGGAAGAAAGGTCTATTGAGCTGCTTCTGTAAAGATTACAGCCAAGAAAACCCTATAAAGTAGTTCTACTTTATAACACAACACATGGAGTCACCATAAGTTGTAATTGACTCAACAGCAATGGGTTTGAGTTTTTTGGAAGGGGTCAGCATCTGTCTAGATTAATAGGGGTCCTCCTGCAATTTTCTGGTGGCAGAAAACCACATACTACATTGAGAAGCATTACCCTTGGACAAAGAGATGCCTGGTCTTAAAACTCTCTTGTGAATCAAATCCCAGCTAGCCAGTATCTCCTTGAGTGGTTCTATGTAACTTATTGTCCTCATCATGAAATAGGAGGACCTGCCCTAGTGCCTGCCAAAGGGTTGTCAGGACGGATTGCTAATAATGCTCTATAACTATTTACATGTGGGTTGTTTTGAAACCAGTAGACTTTTAAGTGCAGGCTTGTTGACTCAAGGTCCCACTGATTGAACATCTGACATGAGTACATAGAACAAAGGGAAAAACCTGGATTCAGAGCTAGGAAATGAGGGCCTAAGTCTTGGCTTAGTCACATCCTTGGGCAAGTCGTTTAACTTCTCGTACCTCAGGTCTGTAATCTTTCTGAACCTCAGTCTTCTCACCTTCAAAATTGGAATAGCAATAGGTATGAGCCTTCTCACAGCATACTGTAGGTAAAAGTGCTTTGAAAGCCATAAAGTGCTCCTTTGATGGGAGGTATTTACCTGGCTGCCATCTTCAAATTTTTCACCTCCATCTCCCTCAGAAGATGCTCAATGAATTTTAATCACCATTTTGTTGTCTCGTGCAGCAAATATAGATAATATTGGCCTCAGAGGACTGAGTCCAAACATACCTGAGTCAGTGCTTGAAAAATAGGCAGCACAGGCAAGAGAGAGTTAACCGGAAGAAGGCTCCTTGTTTGGAAGCAAAAGGATCCGAACAGCAGGAGTGAAGCTGCAGAACACTATAGGACAAGCTGATACTGTCTATGGGATTACTCCTACAGCCAGTCCTTGGCTTATTAAAACTTGTCAGATCTCTTTTCCCTTTATCTGACAACCATAAACACCTTTTAGGGGTTCTGTCTATGAGGATCAACACCTGCATGAGACTAAAAGAAAAATATCTGTGGATGCCTAGAGACTCTCACCACAAGATAACACATTAAGAAGCCGGAATGTTTTATTTTGTCTTTAGTTTCCTTAGGGTTTGGCACCACAGACAGAGCAGAAGACTTTTTTGTCCTTTGTCTTTCCTTATCTTTCATATTGGCAAGAGGAATTTCTTAGCACGATTGAAGAGGAAAGACAGAAGAGAGAGTCCCTTTTCCCCATGTGGAATGCTGTGATACTAGACACTTGATGCTTGAGGACCTAGCCCTTGGGAGCTGGCAGGCTGACCAAAGCCCCAGTCAGGAGCAGTTTGTGAAATGTTCTGAATTCCAGACTCAGCATGAGTCCAGAGATGGGGAGAGTCCCACAGCTTTGGGATATTGACCTTTTGCCCTCTCCCCACTTCCTCAGTCATTACCCTACCCCACCCTGAGTCACTTGGTCACTTTATCAGGCCACTGCAAAGGAGAAAAACTGGAGGCCAAGTAGCGTAGTGCCTAAGGCATTTGACTGTTAACCAGAAGGTTAGTGGTTCAAACCCACCAGCCACTCCTCAGAAGAAAGGTTGGGCAATCTACTTCCATTTCCGTAGTGATACTGCCTTGGAAACTCAAGGAAGGGTCACTATGAGTTGGGTCTTACTCAACAGCACATAACAACAACAAGAAGGCCAACATGAGCTGTCTCTGGATGGTGCAAGTGGTTAACATGATAACCACAATGTTGGAGGGTTGAGTCAACTCAGAGGCACCTCAGAAAAAAGGCCTGCTGATCTACCTCCAAAAAGTCAACCAGTGAAAATCGTATGGAGTACAGTTCTACTCTGACACTCATGGGTCGCCATGAGGTGGGGTCAACTTGATGGTAACTCTTTGGTTGGTTGACTATAGATGGTGATGAAGAAGTTCCAGAGAACTCCTTACCAGTTTACCCACAGAAAATTCCTCCTCTAATCATCTGAAAGGTAGGCCCACCGAAAATTCTAATTTACTTAGAAAGGAAAACCTGCAGCTTCCAGAAGCAATAAAGCCTCAAATGTGCCTGAAACCAACAAATTAAATCCTTGATTAATGGGAATATTTTTCATTGGCATAGTGCCTATGACATTTGACTACTAACCAGAAGGCTGGCTATTCAAACCTACCAGCCCCTCCTTAGAAGGAAGACTGAGTAATCTACTTCTGAAGAGATACTGCCTCGGAAACGCAAGGAGGGGTCGCTATGACTTGGAACCAACTTGATGGCAAT